GGCATGGTGGCACATGCCTATAATCCTAACACTGGGGAGGCTGAGACAGGAGGATCACTATTAGTCTGAACTGTGTGGTGAGAGCCTGTACCAAATTGAAAAAAAAAAATTTTTTTTTTTTTTTTTTTTTTTTTAAAGATTGTAGCTCACTGGTAGAGTACTTGCCTCATATACATAAAGATCACAGTCTTATAAAAAGTTTTTACATACTCAATGACACAGAATAAACATTTCTTTTCCAAAATTAAGTAATGGGGGACTAGAAAGAAATTGGACAAACTGGGCATGGTTGTGCATGCCTATAATCCCAGAATTTGGGAGGCTGATGCAGGAGGATAATTGAGCTTGAAAGCAGCCTGGGATACAAAGTAAGCTCAAGTCCTGCCTGATGAGACCTTGTCTCAAAAAAACATGACAAGCACAAGGTCCTGAGTTCAATCCCTGGTACAAAAAAAAAAAAAAAAAAAAAAAAAAAAAAAAAAAAAAAAAAAAAAAAAAAAAAAAAAAAGAAATTGGGCAAAAGCAAGACTGAAACCTAGCAAGGTAAACTCTAAATCCTGTAACTCTGTGTCTGTCAACTGGGGCACATGGTGGTAAGATGTGAGTTCCAAAGAACTATAATCTTAGGGGTTGAATCCTATATGATTTCTCTCTTGAGATGGTTCAGCTCATTCTCAGGCTCCTTTGCAAGACTCTGTCTCAAAATAAAAAATAAGAAGAATCAAGCATGTGTGAAGGCTTTGTCTCAAAAACTAAAACATTCATGGTATCTCTAACTTCCTGGGATCTCAATCACAATTCAGTGAATGTGGATTAATCCTCATGCCTGCTCTAGAATGTCAGGAAAGCACCTGTAGATGATTTGGAAACTCCAAGCAGGCCTTGTTTGGAATAGCCAGTTTTTTTCTAAATGTCCTATGATACAGGTTGTGTGTGGCTCAAGGCCAGGTATACTCCTTCTCCACCATACCTGAGAGAATTTGTAGTTGTAAGCAACTAAAACAAATTCTTCTGAAAATAAATCTACTGAGAAGAGTTGACAGTTGTCGGTAGGAGGACTGGAGATTCTGGCATAGATGCTAGCACTGGCTGTTGGAACCTAGAGCCCCTGGCCTCTGTCTTAATTTTTGTTGCTGTTGTAACAAATTACCATAAATTTACTGGCTCAAGACAACTCAGAGGGTTTTTGGTTTTGTTTTGTTTTGGGTTTTTTTCTGTGTGAACTAAGGACCTTGCACTTGCCAGGCAGGTGCTTGTGCTGCTGAGTTATCACCCCAGATTTACAACTCAGTTATTATTTCTGTGTATGTGTGTGGGTTTTTTTGTTTGGTTGGTTTTGGTTTTTGAGACAGGATTTCACTATGTAGCCGAGGCTGGCCTGGAGCTCACAGTGACCCTCCTGCCTCAGCATCCCCAGTGCTGGGATTTATAGGCATGCACTACCATGCCCAGCTGCATGTGTGTGTTTTACTGGAGATTAAACCCAAAGCCTTCACACATGCTTGATTCTTATTATTTTTTATTTTTTATTTTGAGACAGAGTCTTGCTAAATTGCCAACAGATTGGGCTCAAACTTGTGATCTTCCTTGCCACAACCTCCCAGATATATACTACCATGTCCACCAGATTAATTTTAAAGTTCTGTAGATCAAAGGTCTGACTGAGCTAAAACCAGGGTGTCTACAGGGCTGGTTCCATTTGGAGGCTTTAGAGGAGTTTATTTTTCACCTTTTTCAACTTGTAGAGGCCTTTGGCATACTTGGTTTGTGGCCCCTTCCTCCATAGCCAGTGTCAAATTTCTTTCTCTCCTTCCATAGTCACCTTTCTTTTCCATTTCCCCACTGTTTTACACATTGTTGCAGCAATAATGGGCCCACCTGAATAATCCAACACTTTTCTCAGTATCATTAACTTGCCAGGTTTGTGGCGTACACCTGTGATCCCAGAATTTGGGAGGCTAAGGCAGGGGGACTATTATGAGTTTGAGGACAGCCTGGACTACACAGTAAATTCAAGGCCAGCCTGAATAAGACCTTGTCTCAAAAAAACAAAACCAAAACAAAAAGTCTCTTGCTCAGTAAATTGATATATCCACAGGTTCCAGGTTTTATTTCATTTTATTTTATTTTCTTGTGGAATCGGGGATTGAACTCAGGCCTTTGCACTTGCCAGGGAAGTGCTTATTCTACTGAGCCATCTCCCTGGCTCCCAGGTTCTAGGTTTTATTTATTTTTATTTTTTGGCGGAACCGGGGATTGAACTCAGACCCTTGTGCTTGCCAGGGAAGCACTTATTCCATTGAGCCATATCCCCGGCCCCAGGTTCTAGGTTTTAGAACATGAACATCCTTTTTTTTTTTTTTTTTTCCGGAACCAGGGATTGAACTCAGACCCTTGCGCTTGCCAGGGAAGCGCTTATTCCACTGAGCCATCTCCCTGGCCCCTTAGAACATGAACATCTTTAGGGCTGTTATTTTGCTTGTCCTTGCCCCATCCCCTCTCTCTACCTCCATTTTCTTGGCCATCAGAAAGAGGAAATCTGCTATCTGTGTTTTGTATCAACAGTTTATTGTGGAACCAGGGATTGAACTCAGGTCCTTGCACTTGCCAGGGAAGCGCTTATTCTACTGAGCCATCTCCCCAGCCCCAACAGTTTATTATTGAGGGCTGGGGAGATGGCGCAGTAGAATAAGCGCTTCTCTGGCAGGTGCAAAGGCCTGAGTTCAATCCCCGGTTCCACCAAAACAAAACAAAACAAACAAACAAAAAACAACAAAAAACAAACCCCAAGAACAGTTCATTACTTAAAGTCCTACAGGGGAATTTTTGATTGATAACCTGGCTGTGCCATAACTTTAAAGGTAGCTGGAGAAATTTGTAACTGACACTGCCTGTTACCTAGATAGACTCCTAAAGTGGTGACTCCCTCAGATATTGCCATAGTTAAGGTACTGCGTATCCTCAAGAAGGGACAAAGAGCCATGTTACCCACTTACTGGATGTAGTTACCAGTAACCAAGAATTACTTAAAATGCTGTTGCTTGTAATTGTTTGTATGGCCTCAGACTTATCTTTCCCACGTGTTACTGAACTAGTTACAGTCCCCCTGATCTTCCCTTGCCCATCTGGAGAACATTTGCTTATGGTTTGCTGATAACATGGTCCATAGTCCTTTGTCTGCAGTTCCAAAATTAGACTGCTCAGATCACAAAAATGTTCTTCCTAAGTTTGTAGGACCAGTCCCCTCCAGCTAAGATAACCAGGAGCCCACCTAGAGTTGGACATACTTGGGTTATTGACTGATGGCCTCAGGGCAAACACCTTTACTCACCTGTTGTGGAAGGAGAGGTCTCTGGCCTCAATAGTACAAGATGACCAGATACCCAATGTGACCCTGAACAGGGATGATTGACATGATATATTAGTCCCATATACTAACTGCCCAGAGAAGACATTGTAGGCATGCAGGGTAGGGGTGGGGTGTACTGGGGAACAGAGAGAACCAACTCCATCAAGGGAAGTAGGCTGTGAAGTGACAAGGGTTAGGTGCCCTTGGTTCCTGTAAGAGGATGTGATTGGTTGGTTTCTGTATTTCCAAGGCTTAGCAGGAAGGTGAAGCCCACAAGGTGAGATCAGGTGGGTGCAGCTGGTCTTGCTGGGAGAGGAGCTAGTTGGTTTCTGGGACCTTTCCACAGTGGGGGGCATATCTGTCAAAAGCAGGGGAACTCGGGGCCCCTGTGTGGCCCAAAAATTCAACACTTTTTTTTTTTTGTATTTGGTACAGGGTCTCAGTACCCAGCTCAGACTCATAGTGATCTTCCTGTTTTCAGCCTCCCAGCACTGGTATTATAGATACCCAGTCTCGATGGCTGGCACAGCACACCTGAGGGTGGGGCCATTGCGACATGTGGTGCTAGGGATCAAACCCTGGTCCCTGCTCTTACCTAAGCAGGTGCTAGTCTGCTGAGCTATCTCACCAGCCCTAACACTTGAATCTCACTCATGGTGATACTCCTGTCTCAGCCTCCTGTTAGTTTGGAGGAGTGTCTGAGTGAGTGTAACACTTTTCCAGCTTTTTATGGGAATATTGGCCTTTCATGAGTGGAAATCTTGAGTGGGCTTATGTTATGTGATGGTGCCAAGATGCTAGCTCAGTGCCAACTGGACTTGGAGTTGTGCTCCAGCTGTGAAGCCATGCAGGCTTCCCTAGGACACTGGGACATGAGCAGGCTGCTGTTCTGTCCTCAGACTAAGCGCGACCCAACACTGGCTGGGTCCTAGCAGGCCCTTGACCCTGCAGCAGCCAGCTCATGGACATGCCCTCAAAACTACAGCAGGATTGAGACACTGCTCAGGAGAATTGGGGTCTGAGAGAGCCTTACTTTACATGAGGAGCAGAATAGGGCCTAGGGAGGGACAGAGACATGCAGGACTCAGGAGAGATGATACCCTTCTTATTTCCTTGCTTGCTATTCCACAGCTGAAGCACCATGAGGAAAGATGAGTTTGGCCATGTCCAAAACACCAGCATAGTTCTTCAAACTCTTCATAAAACCCATTCCTTCCTCACTCCAAAGAAATCTATCTTCTGTCCTCATTCTAAAGTCTTCAGGGGGCAAGCTGCCTTTGCTACTTCCCCTATGTGTTCCTTGAAAGAGCCACCAGCATTACATAATGAGAAGACATCAATGAAAAAGTTACTCATTTACTATTTAAACATTCATCAAATATTAATTGAGCACCTACTCTGACCAAGGCTTGCCCGGGAGCACCCGCCCTCTCCAGGCTCTCAGAAGCATGTCCACTTGACCATGTTCTCTGGTATCCTAGCAACCAAAAACTGATCTGTGCTCTAGCCAGGACAGAGGCCATTCCTACCTGACTCTAGGACTCACAGCTTCCCCAAAGCCTCTGAAGACCCATCTGTGCAGCTATTTAGGGCACTGAAACTACCACTTTTTCCCAAGAACTTCAGCCCCACCAACCCCCACCCCAGAAAGATGAGCTTTTCGCTCACATTCACTGAGCTGGTCAATGTTGCCATACCCCAGTGTGGGATGGTGAACTTCAAGGCCCTGCATCTTCTGCTCCATGGCATCCTGGAGCACATCCACATGGCAGATCTCAAGAAGGTGCTCTCAGGGGATGAGGACTTCCTCCAGACCTCACAGGTGGTGGTCATGCCCAGGGAAGGAGATGCCCAGCCCATCCTTAGTCCCATGAAGCGGCTCAGCAACGTCTTTGACCACGTGGTGAACCGCATTGACAAGATAGAGAACCAGCTGGCCATGCTGCAGGACCTGCCCTCCACCACCCAGCTGCTGGAGGGCAGCCAGGGGACTGCCCAACCCATGCAGGACCTGTGGCATCTGATCAAGCTGAGGAAGATGGTGGAGGGCAATGAAGAAGCCACAGCAAAGGTACATCACCAATCTGCAGAAGTCCCCATCCCCTCTACTCTGCTCCTAAGCATCCTGTCCTCTTTCCCCTTGTGATGGAATATTCCATTATTCATAATGGAATGAATTATTGAGGTCACAGCCAGACTTTAGAGTCAGGCAGAACCAAAACTCTAATCTTGCATCCTTCTCATTTATTGAGGAAAGAAGCAAACACTAAAGGCCATATATTATATGATACCATCTATGCAAAATCCCCCAAATTGGTAAATCATAGACACAGAGAGTATAATGGTGGTTTCCTTCCCTTCTGGAGGGAAGGGAGAATAAGAAGTGACTATTTAGTGAGTGTAAGGTTTCCTTTTTGGGGTTATGAAAATGTTTTGGAATTAGAAGTTATAGACATGTACTTGTCAAAATAAATGCCACTGCATTCTTCCTCTTCCTCTTCTTTCCTAGGGCTTTGTACATGCTAGGCAAGTACTGTACCCCTGAGGTACATCCCCAGCTGTATTGTTTCCTTTAAAAAAGTGTGTTATATGACTCTCACTTTAATTAAAAACATTAATTGAGGGCCAACCAATGATGAAGGTATCAAGGTAGGCATGGTAGACACAGACTAGTAGGGGGAGACAGTCAAAACAAGTGAACAAAAATTCACAAGAATCAACCATATGCACAGGAAAAGGGAGATTACTCATTTTATGGGTGAATAAACTGACACTCAAAAATTCTCATTAATTTGCTGATGGCCCAGCAGCCAGTGACAGGCAGAGCTGGAAGTTGAGCCTAGGGTCAAGAGACTTACAGGTTTTACTGTAGACTGTTACATCCCCTATCTCCCTGGTTAGTGTAAAGATAGCATTCAATAAATAGTAGGCCAGAAGGAATAAAAAAGGCAAAATAATAAGGATTATTGATGAGAATATGGAGAAATTGGAATCCTCACACACTGTTGGAAAGAATGGCAAATGGTGCTGCTGCTGCTGTAGAAAACAAAAACGCCCCAGCAATTTCTTAAAGGGTTAAATGTAGAGTCACCATATGACCCAGAAATTCCCCGTCTGGGTATGTACCCCAAAGAACTGAAAACAGGTGTCAACTCAAAACCTTCACACAGTGACCACAGCAGCACTAGTGACAATAGATAAAAGGTGGAAATAAAAGTATGCCCCCCTACAGACAGGCAAGGGCATTTATGTAAATTTTTCCCTCTGCCCCTTTTGGGCTTTGTGGCCTTGACCAAAGCAATCTCTTTGCTTCCTGATTTTTTTTTTTTTTAAATCTATAAACTGAAAATTTCAGTAACACTCAGCTGTTGTATGGGGTGGGGTGGGTGAAGGGAACTTGACACCTGGCAGGACTAAGTAAATACTCAGCAGGGAGTGAATCACTCTGCTCTTGGCAAATGGGGAACAGTAAGCTTGAGCTGAGAGGGAGGATGAGATTCCCCTGGAGAAGCTGGGCAGCAAGTCAAGAATAGCAGCCAGGTTTGGGGCTGGGTCCAGCAAGGAAACTGTCCCCTAGGTGCCAACTGCATGCACACTGGTAGCTGAATGTCCAAGGAGGGATGGCCCATGTGGGGTGGCTTCCCACCTCTAACCTCCACCATAATCTGGGACCCAGAGTGAGCTCTCGATAATTCAAAAGCCACATAATGATGAAAATTAAAGAATTGTCATCACTCAGGCATAATGGCACATCTCTGTAATCCCACAGTTGGTAGGCTGAAGCAAGAGGATTTGAAGCCACCTTGGGCAACATAGTGAGTTCAAGTCCAGCCTGAACTACAGAACTATGCAGGGAGAACCTGCCAAAAAAAAAAAAAAAAAAAAAAAAAAGTCACCAACCTGGGTAGAGTCTAGTGGAAAGTTGGTGTCTCACTCTGAGTCTGTTTCTGGGAACTCAGAGAGGGCCTTCTCATCCACATGTGGTTGGGGTCATGTCTGCAAAGTATATGGAGGACCACTGGCCAACTCAGGAGTGAAACCTGAACTAGTGAATTGCCCTGGAGGCATGCGCCCCACAGGGGCTACCAAGTCTGACTTGTGCACTGCGGAGGTGTAGGTGCTTGTAGAAGTGATTGAGAAAACACACAGCAACAGCTCTTTCCTGCAAGTGAGAAAAGATGTCCAGACTCTTAGCATTTTTCTCTATACAGCCCAACTTTATCAGGCTTCATACTCCCAATCATTTTTTTCTTTTTAGAGACAGGATCTGACTCTGTAGTGCAGGCTGACCTTGACCTTGCTTAGGTACCCAGGCTGGCCTCGAACTCTTGGCGTTCCTCTTTCCTCAGCCTCCCTAGTGCTGGGATTAGAGGCCTGCGCCATCATACTTGGCTCCTTAT